TTAAATACTTTGCCATTGAGTGAAGCCCAGTTTGGCATCTTGATCATAATGGGACTTAAGAAAGTGTTGCCAATGTGACATAGCATACTATCTTACAGTAAACATGTTTTGTGTATAAATAAAAGAAATGATCAAAAATAAAAATGTAATGTAGTAAACTAGTGACACAGGCATACATTATTAAAGATTATGTTCTGTACATAAATGTATGTGCTGTATTTTCATACTGCTGACTTGTAGGAAATTTATTCATACTAGCACCACCACAACACATGAGTGCTATGACATTATCGTTTTTATTGAATGAGACCATTGGAATGATTACAACGCATTATTGATCAGAATGTATGCAATTCATGACTTTGTATCATTTTGTGAAGAAAAGATATCACCCTCAAAGGAATCTGGCTGAAGCACCGCTTAGGACAACACCAGGGTCTTTCAGTGGTTTCCCAGTAATTATTTTTCCCTCTTACTTCCAGTTGCATTATTCTTTTTTTTTTTTTTTTTTTACCCCTTTTCCCTTTTAACTCTGGGAATGTAGTTATTAACTTGCAGTCAATGAAAAGGAGTCTGCATTTATCAAGTCTCAAGACAGGTGATAATTTGTGTGTTTTGCCCCAGGCAATACCACAGCCAGCGCTCTACTTCTGTCCCCACCCCAGGCTAGGGCTTCTTCCTGCTGGAGTGACTTTTAAGAATGACACATACAGGGGGGAGGGCATACGCCATTCCCTCCGTTACAGTTTTGCACCATACTGGTAAGAGTGTAAGATTCTTACAGACAGATTACCGTCTGGAATGCAAGAGTAATTAAAGGTGAATGTGTTTACCCTTTTTTTTCCCCTTTGAACTTCTTCCATAAGTATTTACATGTCTATTTTAACTTCAGGAAGATGAAGATTTACTGCATTTATGTCTAGGGAATAAAATATATTGCACAATTTCATGTGATGATATGCAGTCTTATCAATAAGTATACTTTTTTCTATTTTTCTTTTTTCTCACTCTCTTTCTTTCTCTCCTTTTTTTGTGCTAGTACTAGGTCTTGAACTCTGGGCCAAGGCACTATCCCTTAGGAAGGCATTATCTCAAGTTGGAGCTCTACTACTTATGAACACAGCTTTTGCTGGTAATTGTATCTGATCCTCAGATTTCAGCCTCCTGAGTAGCTTGGATTACAGGTGTGAGCCACGATTCCCTGGCACATATCCTTTTAACTCTTCCATAAAATTAAGACAAAGTCTCACTGGTTATCAATTTAAACTTTCTTGCCTCAGTTTTTATCTGAGCCCACTGGAATACTATATAGAAAATGAGACAGAGACTAGTATAAATATGATTTGAAGAGGAGCAAGTGGACAAATATAGAAGTGGGTAATTCTGAGTAGAAAATATTTTAATGTATTAATAGCCAACAAGTGATGAGTTATTTCAGTTTTATCCTTTTGTTTCTATAGCAAGTATCTTCACTTTCCTTATCTGTGCAAAGAGCAGAAAAAGGCATGTCAAACACAGGAAAAGCATAACAATCTGACATTAAGACTTGCAGAAATGCTTCTGATTATGAAGAAAAAGATTTCATCTGAATTGTTTATCCACACTACTTACAGGCATTACTAAGATTGAAAAGATTTCATATTATCCATTAAACCAGTTACTCATATCTTCACATCTGGCTTCTTGACATCTCTATGGTATTTTAAAGTGACAAAATTTTATTTATTTATTTGTTTGTTTATTTATTTAATTTATGCCAGTTTTGGCTTGAACTCAGGGCCTGGGCGCTCTCCCTGAGTGCTCTACCACTTGAGCCACAACTCCACATCTGGCTTTTTTGGTGCTTAATTGGATATAAAAGTCTCATGGACTTTCCTACTTGGCCTGGCTTCAAACTGCAGTCCTCAGATCTCAACCTCCTGAGTAGGATTACAGATGTGATCCAACTCTTCCTGGATAATTTTAAATATTTTGTGTATCTTTTTATTTGGGTGTGGCTTTTATAAACTGTTGAAGTAGAAAACATTTCAATTCAGTTGAAGCAATATTCAGAAAGCAAAGGCTACAGAGTACCATACAATCTGCGAGAGACAAATAAATGTATGGATATTAAACTTTCTTGCCTCACAGAACAAAGACATTTGTGTAATTTGTTTTTCTTTTTGGTGATCACAAGGTTTGAACTTGGGGCCTGAGCGCCATTCCTGAGCTCTTTTTTGCTCAAGGTTAGTGCTCTACCACTTTGAGCTACAGCTCCACTTCCTGTTTTCTGGTGGTTAATTGGAGATAGGAGTCTTACAGGCTTTCCTGCCTGAGCTGGTTTTGATCCTCAAATCTCAGCCTCCTGGGTAGCTAGGATCACAGGTGTGAGCCACCAGTACCTGGCTCATTGTTTGTTTTTACATGTATTAAGTCCTATTTAATGAGCACTTATTGCTCTCAATTTGTGCTACATGTACTATTCTAAGTAATTTGCAAATATTATTAGCTCATTCAAGTAATTATGTATAATGTGGTTTCAAAAGAGAGAAGGTATACTATAGGTTATACTATATAAGTTATACTATATAGATTATACTATATTTTAGTAATAGGAGGCAACAGAGGTTTGAGAATGAGCACTTGGTACTTCTTACTGTCACATCTTTGGAATCTGAAACCTGGACAAAGATAAATTCTTCCTACCAGGAGAGCAGTGCTTAGTTGGGTTCATGATCTTCTCCTGAGTAATATACAGTTTGATTTTTTTAAAGTGGGTTCTTGTTAGTATAGCTAAGTTTTATTCATACTGAGCTGCAATGGTCTTTTCTTCCTCCTCCTCTTTCCTTTTGCCGGTTACTGTTATTTTTGCTTTTGACCATCTCCAACCTGTTTGTAGAGAAGTTGATGAAGAATACTGCTCTCTAAACATACTCGTGATGAGATTATGGTACAAACATCCAGACTTTTACTTGAGTGGTCTAAGGAAATGTTTTTATTGTTTAAACTTAGGGCTTCACATACTTGATAGGCCCATGCTTCACCATGTAAGCCATACCAACAGCCCTTTTGGCTTCAGTTATTTTTGAGATAAGGTCTTACATTTCTTTCCAGGACCAGTCTCAGACAACAGCCCACCTGCTTACATGTCCTGCTTAGCTTGGACAACATGTGTATACTCTCATACCAACTTAATGATTGAGATGAGGGTCTTGCTATTGCTGTTTTGGGGGAAGGGTCAGGGGGATTGGCCTTGAACCTCAGCCACTTTTTTTTTAAAAGCTCTAAATCAAAATTCACCCTTTAAAAGTTTATTGAGATTTCTATCACTTTTCAAGCAACTTTCTCTTGAAGCCATGTTATTTTATTTAATTTTTGGGGGGGGGGTCTGGTCGTGGGGCTTGAACTCTGGGCCTGGGCGCTGTCCCCCAGCTCTTCACCTCAAGGCTAGCGCTCTACCACTTGAGCCACAGTGCCACTTCTGGCTTTTTTTCTTTTTGCTTATGTGGTGCTGAGGAATTGAACCCAGGGCCTCATGCATGCAAGGCAAACGCTGTACCACTGAGCCACCTTCCCAGCCCCGCCACGTTATTTTATACTCTTTTTTTTTTTTTTTTTTGGTCGGTTGTGGGGCTTGAACTCTGGGCTTGGGCGCTGTCCATGCGCTCTTCAGCTCAAGGCGAACACTCTACCGCTTAAGCCAAAGCACCACTTCTGGTTTTCTAGTGGTTTATTGGAGGTCTCATGGAGTTTCCTGCCCGGGCTGGCTTTGAACCTCGATCCTCAGATCTCAGCCTCCTGAGTAGCTAGGATTACAGGCGTGAGCCACCAGCACCAGCTTTACTTTATACTCTTTTTTTTTTTTTTTTGGTCCGATCGTGAGGCCTGAACTCTGGGCTTAGGTGCTGTCCCTCAGCTCTTCAGCTCAAGGCTAGCACTCTACCACTTGAGCCACAGCGCCACTTCTGGCTTTTTTTTTCTTTTTGCTTATGTGGTGCTGAGGAATCAAACCTAGGGCCTGATGCATGCAAGGCAAGTGCTCTACCACTGAGCCACCTTCCCAGCCCTATTTTATACTCTGAACTGCAAGATAAAGTTTCTTTTACACATTCAAATATATTATGTGGGTTCAGCGGCAGTTAGTATAAGTAAAGGAAGCACGCTGTATATGAGACTTGTACCTAAGGCAATATTTTCATTCTTGACTTCCTTCTACTTCACATTTTTTTGAGCAAATTTATTTATTTATGTGTTTATTTTTAACTTTTTTTGCCAGTCCTGGGGCTTGAAATCTGGGCCTAGGTGCAGTCTCCAAGCTTCTTTTGCTCTACTGCTTGAACCACAGCTCAAGAGTTGTGAGATTAAAGTCTCATGGGATTTCCTGCCTGGACTGGCTTTGAACCATGATCCTCACATCTCAGCTTCCTGAGTAGCTAGGATTACAAGTATGAGCCACTAGCACCCAGAGGTAGTTTTTTAATTTAATTAATTTGCTTCATTTTTTTATAAAGGTGATAAACACGGGACTTACTTACAATTATATGCATCAGGTAATGAGTACATTTCATTTTGTAGTGTTCTCTGTTTCTTTACTGTCTTCCAGTACCTCCCTCACATCTCCACCCATGAGTTGTACAGTTTGAGAAAATTTAAAAAGGACATTACTATATCTTTTTTGTGATAAAATTTTCTGTACTACCTAATCTATTTGACCTTTGCAAGTTAGTCTTCTCTTTCCAAGATCAGAGCCTAACTCTTCTGTTGTTCATACATAATCAACTAGCTCCAATCTATTGTTTATCTAGACTAAGCCACGCCTCGCCTCCATCTTGATTTGCAGTCCAACAACAGATCAGTCATAAATTATTAGGTGCAGTGTCAAGCAAAATCCTAGATGGAGAAGGATTAGTCTTATTTATATATTTGTTTATATATATGGTAAGCATGAACTCTCAGGAAAAACATTGCCACCTAACAATTCTTTGTGTTGATATAAATTTTGAAGTGTGCTTTGTTTCTAGGTCCATATTGTGGAAGTATGACCGTTCCCAAGGAACTCAGGCTGAATACAAATGAAGTAACTGTTCGCTTTGAGAGTGGATCCCACATTTCTGGTCGGGGCTTTTTACTCACCTATACCAGCAGCGACCATCCAGGTATAGAATTGACCCAGTTCATCACACCCTATATGCCTAAGAATTTTTCTTGCTACTTATCACTCTGTAAACAGAAGTGTGATCTTAGATACAAAATTAAGATTCGAAAGGAAGAACAGTTTGTTTATAATAATTAAGCCTGAATGGAATTGTTTTGTGGCACATGGTAGATGGATCGGCTGACCTGTATCAGGTAGTCCTGTGTAGCCCACCTTTGGAGCTTTGCTTCTGAATTTTCCAAGGCCTGGCGGCCTCAGAAGCTGTTCCCTAGCCTCTTTCCTTGCTCAAGGAACCAATCTTTTCTCCAGTGAAAAGCTCCATCTCTACCCTACACTTATGCCAAAGCCCTAGCGTGGGAGCCATGCCCATCCCAACACAATGAGGAAGTCTCAGCTACGTGGCCTCCTGACCATAGATAGAGCTGAAAGGGAATATGAACAGTGACAGCCAAGGAAAGTGCAGCCTCTTGTCCTGGCCTCCTGAACTCCAGACTCATGGACATTCAACCCACTCCATATCTGTCGAGGGTCACAGAGATGTCCAAATTAGTGCTGCCAGTCCCATGGAGGCAGAAATAGTGTAGGAAATGGCTGAGTCATTCATTTCCTTCGTAGCCAATCATATGTGATTGGCCAAATGGCCCGTGTTTGCCATACATTGTTTTAAGGTTTATTGAAAGTGTTCCTGAAGAACTATTACATCAACATCAACAGTACAGTTTTGTTGATGTTTTTTGGGGGGTCGGTTATGGGGCTTGAACTCTGGGCCTGGGCGCTGTCCCTCAGCTCTTCAGCTCAAGATGAGCACTCTACCACTTGAGCCGCAGCACCACTTCTGGTTTTCTGGTGGTTTTTATTGGAGATAAGAGTCTCACGGACTTTCCTGCCTGGGCTGGCTCTGAACTGTGATCCTTAGACCTCAGCCTCCTGAGTAGCTAGGATTACAGGCACCCGGCAACAGTATTTAGGGAACTGCAGTAGGTTTTATCTTCAGTAGGTTTCTTTTGCTGTTGTTGTTGTTGCTTTTGACTGTTCTAGGGCTTAAATACTGGTCCTAGGTGCTGTCCCTGAACTTCCTTTTGCTCATGGCTAACACTCTACCAGTTGAGACACAGTGCTGCCACTTCTGGCTTCTTCTGTGATTAATTGCAGATAAGAATCTCATGGACTTTTCTGCCTGGGCTGTTTCAAACTGCAATCTTCAGATCTCAGACTCCTGACTAGCTAAGATTACAGATGTGAGCTACCAGCACCTGGCTATATGCATCGATTTTCATAACAACTTAGCTTCCCCATTCCTGAATGCTGTAAATTCAGTTTTATAAATTACTGCAGAAAACCCCCATCTTTTGGTCCTGATTGATCAAGGCTGATAAGTTATTGGTGTTGGATAAACATTTGTTCTGTACCATTGGATGCCACTGGCTTAGTTGTTGAGTGAAAACATTTCTGAGAGCCTTCTGTATTGTGTTGGGCTTCTGAGAGCCTACCACAGAGCTTATATACACAATCTTTGTAGTATGTAGCAGGCAGTTAACTAATGTTGATTTTTTTTGTTGGAAATAGAATCTCTTATTATTAACTAGATAATAACATTGAAAACCTATACCTGGTGATAGAAAAGTTGGAAAAAGGAGCTGATTAAATACTAGAGACAGTGTTTTCAGGTTTTATTTCAAATAGAACAACTCAGTTAACTAGAAAATGAACAAATGCTTAAAATTGTCTTTTTATTTAGGAAATATTTAAAGCATGAGAACTCTAGTCTCTGCTCAGTTTGTTAATTGCAATTATCTTTATTTGTGACAGATTTAATAACCTGCTTGGAAAGAGGTAGCCATTATTTGAAGACTAAATTCAGGTAAATATAGTTATCAGTCATATTGTTAAACATTTTGTTTTCCTTAACATGAAACTAAATAAAGCCCCCAATTAGTTCTTAAATTGGTGTGTGTGTGTGTGTGTGTGTGTGTGTGTGTGTATGTTTTAAAGAAAAACATTTATGTTGCTGGATGCTGGTGGCTTAATCCTATAATCTTAGCTTCTCACGAGGTTGAGAACTGAGGACCCCAACTCAATGCTAGCCTGGTCAGGAAAGTCTTTGAAACTCACCTCCAATTAACTACCAAAAAGCCAGAAGTAAAGCTCAGTAGACTTGAGCTGAAAAAGCTCAGAGATAGTACACAAGTGCTGAGTTCAAGCCCAAGAACTGGCAAAAACAAAACTAAACAAAACCCCAAACAAAAATAAAACATTCATGTTGTCACTAAGGAGGAATATTTGAAATGGTGTCTTATACAACAGAAGTCAGCACGTTTTTGTCAAGGACCAGATAATAAATGTTTTAGGTTTTACAAGCCCTAAGTCTCCATTGCATTGAATTATGCTATTGTAGTAAAGAAGCAAATATACATACATAATATGAAAATAAACAACTGTGGCTGTGTTACAGTAAAACTTTATTGATAAAAACAAGTTGCAGGTTGAATTTGATCCTCAGACCTCTGAATTTTACTCTATACCAATAGCCCCTAATTGAGTTCATCTTCCTGGCCTATATTTGGGAGTGACTTTTGTAATTCTTTCTTGGGGTAGTGGTAATGTGAATTTATTTTGTCTTTCATCCTAAAGAAAAATCTATTGAGAATAAGGAGACAAAAATTGTCATCTCAGCTTCACTTTAATTCAAAAATATACTTAGCTCTTTGACACATATTTTCTCATCTCCAAAGTAAAATAGAATAGGATTAGCAAACTTTGGCACTATTGATACTTTGGGTTGGGTAATTCTTGATCATGTAGTACTATCCTAAACACAGTTGGACTTTTAAGGGCAACCCTGCTTTCTTATTCTCTAGATCTCTGTTGTGATAGCCAAGAATATCTTTAGTCATTAACAAAATGTCTTCTGGTAGGCAAAAACTCGATTTGAGAACCATTAGTCTAGAGATACTATAACTGCCAGTAACTCTTTACAATGCTTTCTTAGTGGCAGTACAGTTCTCCACACAAGTAGCTCATATGAAAGTTCCAACATGCTTACTAGGTGAACTCTGTTATATCCTGAAAACATGGGCCAGAATGGTGAAAACACTTATCGAAAGCTGTATACCTAATATGTGTGCATCAGACTGTACAGCCCATGGGCTTAACTGCCTCAGACATTTGCACATTCTGAATGTGATTCTTTAGGGTTCAGTGTTAGCTAATATTAAGTCTAGTTTTAAAAATGAGTAAAAATTAAATGTTGCCTTGTAAAGTTACTGTTCATCCTAGTACATGCATATACACCAGCATTCTCTAAAGTTTCACCAGGTAGACCTGTGCAGTTCCAGGGCCTTTGGGTATGAATAGTCATTTTTTTTGTTCTTCTGAAGATAGGGGATATACTTGTGCTTCCTTGGTGGCTTTATGGTGCAGGTCATCTAGGCTGTAGCTCAGTCTTTAATTTTTATTGTGTGGCTACTAATATAGTCCACAATACATCTTCTATAATTCTGGAACATGCTCTAAAAGCCTTTGTAACTCATATAGTAGCAATACTTGATTAATGTGACTTTACATTCAATTGGCAGTGGAATTGGACTAGATTAACATGTGGCTATTTGATCTCTGTATATTTTCTTTAATGCAATTATGCATCCTTCTGACAGAACTATTACTGTTGTTGATTAATGTGTGCAGACTCGGTGGCAAGGTCCTACATTATTGGCACTGGCCATTTTCTTTTACTGAAATTCAATACAATCTTAATTCTGACGAAGAGAATTATCTCTGAGGAATTATAAGCCTGCAATAGACTACCCCATTATGTTTATTTGTTAAATCCTTGGTTGCTGCTGCAATCCTGAGACTCCAAAGATCACTAGGAAAGAATTATTTGGATAATTATTTGGGGTAATTAGCTGTTTTTATCATATAATTTGCTAAGTCAGCAAGAGGAAACTAAAAGGAAATGAAATTTAAAATAAAGACTAATTGTGGAATCAGTTTGGTCTAGGACATTGTTTTTAAACAAACTGAGTAACCATCATAAAGTAGTATATACAGAAACAAAGGCACATGGCTTTCTTCAGAGCAATCCATCTTATAGCACTTTAGATTTCTGTATGTGTTTTTAATAGATATAAGTAGCTGGCCCCCATATCTTATTAATATATTGATATATTGATGCTTGAAGTAACCAGCAGTGAAGAAGTGGAATGGCAGAGCAAACTTACACAATAGCAGAGACATACAGCTAGCTGGGTAGTAGCCTGGCCACCTGACCCCAATGCTCAGATCCTTCAACTATACCACGCTCTTTTTTTTTTTTTTTGATTAAATAGAACATATGATTAATTTTGCCTTTTTTTAACTTTTAAAAATGTGGCTACTAAAATATTTGAATTTACCTATGTGATTTCCATTATATTCATTGATAGCATAGAGAATGGAGATGTTGCAGTGTGTGTAAACACAGGAAGTGAAAGCTTCTCCCACTCCTACTCCCAGAGAGAATCCAGGGATATTCTTTATTCTTTTTATTTTGTTGATTTGTTGAAAGCAAGGTATCTCCCTATGTAGCCCAGTCTAGCTTTAAACTTGATCTACCTGCCTGAGCCTCCTAAGTGCTGGGATTACAGCTGTTTATCACCAAACCTCATTAGGAGTATTCTTTTAAACCATAAACACAAAAATTATTTTCATATTTGAATAATTATTGTTGTAAAAATTAAATCATATTGTATAGATGAAATTTTCCCTTTACCTTAAAAAAAAGTATCTTAGACATCTTACAATCAAAGTGTATGATATAGCTCATTGTTTAACAGAATTTATGGTGAGTCTTTATATACAGCAAGCAATCACTGTGTTAATTTGCCTCCAGATTAACATTTTAGGTCAGTCTGTGTTTTCACAAATCAGTTTTCTGGTTTGTTATTATAGCAATATAACCCTACAATTCTATGGTGTAGGGAAAATACTTCTTTGGTTTCGTTTTGTTGTTGTTGGTTATGGGGCTTGAATTTAGGTCTGGGTGCTATGCCTGAAGGGTTTTTTTTCCCCCTAAAGGCCAGCACTCTACTACTTGAGCCACAGCTCCACTTCCAGCTTTTTGGTGGTTAACTGGAGATAAAAATCTCATGGACTGGGCTGGGAAGGTGGCTCAATGATAGAGCGCTTGCCTTGCATGCTTGAGGCCCTGGGTTTGATTCCTTAGCACCACATAAGCAAAAAGAAAAAAGCCGGAAATGGCGCTGTGGCTCAAGTGGTAGAGCGCTAGCCTTGAGCTGAAGAGCTGAGGGACAGCACCCAGGCCTAGAGTTCAGGCCCACGATCGGACCCCCCCCACCCCCGACCCCCCAAAAAAATCTCATGGACTTTCCTGCCCTGGCTGGCTTCAAAGTTCAGTCCTCAGATCCTGAGTAGCATGGATTATAAGCATGAGCCATTGATACCTGGATCAAGAAAATATTTTTTAAGTTGACGTGTAGTTTAATTTGTTCTTAGTTCAATAGAATTAAATAAAATATTTTTTTTCAGCAAATTCTGCCCAGCTGGTTGTAAAGACATAGCAGGAGACATTTCTGGGAACACGGTAGATGGCTACAGAGATGTAAGTAATTGGCAGTAAAAGCTGTAAAGGAACTTAAAAGGTGTTAAGTGTTGCTTGCTTGCCTAAATTCTTTTACACAGGCAATGAAATGAAATAATGCATATAAATACCATGTTTATCTATCCATTCAGTTTTGTCGCTAGCATTTCTAGTTAAGCATTTGTAAATGAGATGATGAGAAACAAAAAGAAGCCCTTTTTAACAACTAGGAGTATCTTCATCTTATTGTATGAGTCAAGTTTCTGTTACTGTAACAAATAGCTGAGCCAAATCTATTTAAAAAGGGTTTAATTTGTCTCACAGTTTTGGAGATTCCAGTTCATGAGCACTTAATTGGTCCTGTTGTTTTGGGGCCTGTGGTAGATCGTAGGGGAGCACATTGTGGAGCAAGATGCAACTGTGCAGCCTAAAGAGAGAAAAGGGAATGGCTCCACAAACCCTTTGGAGGGCTCAACCCAGTGCCTTAACTTCTTCCCATTAGGCCCCACCTTTTAAAAGTGCTGCAATACCCCTTTTAAAAGTAGTGCCACAGGCTGGTCATCAAGCCTTTGACACATGGGCCCTTGGGGGACATTTCAGATCCACACTTAGCATCCATCTACTACCAGAGGTTGTAAGGTTGTGCTCTTTTTGTTACTAATTTAACATCCCAGTTATTTTTGTTACAGAGCTAAGGATTACATCACCAAATAATACATCATTTCTGGGCCCATCAACTGTCTCCTTTACATTTCACCCTTCCCTCTTATACTCCAAGCTTTATGCATGATAAATGCATAATATACATACTAAATAAAATACCTTTGTTTCCAAATAAAAAATAAATTATTAGAAAGTACTTTTTTTAAATTTTTAATAATTCAAGACAATTCCTATAAACCAGGCTGTCAATCTAACTATTTTAAATAATAATGTAGATAGAAATCTACAGAAGGGGAAATGTTATAGACATGTATCTTCATGCAAGAAGAAAATCGTCTATAACATTTAGAGAAAAAAGCTTGAATTTTTTTTGAGCACATTCTGATTTTTGAGAATAGCAGATTTTTGTTGTTACTTGGTTTGCATTGCATGTATTGATTGATTGATTGATTGATGCATGCATGCATGCATGTATGCCAGTTCTGGGCTTGAACTCAAGGCCTGGGCACTGTCCTGGAGCTTTTGTACTCAAGACTAGCACACTACCACTTGAGCCACAGCTCCATGTCTAGCTTTTTGGGGATGGTTAGTTGGACAGAATAGTGCCAGGGACTTGCCTGTTCTGGCTGGCTTCAAACCATGATCTTCAGATCTCAGCCTCCTCCCTGAGTATCTAGGATTGCAGGTGTGACTCATTTCTCTTATAAATTATTTGAATGTACTACTTTAGTGTTAAGATTTACTGGGCACAGCTATTTTTAAATGACTCCAAAAAATTAACTGAGAGGGGTAAAATGTTGAAATGGCTTATTTTTCTAGCAATAGAAAGTTTGTATTATTTTCATTCTCTATGCAATAACCTTAAGAATTAACTACAATAAGAGAAATGGTATAGTTTTTGTTCTTCCTGCAGATATGTATTTTGCTGCCTTCTGGCATGAATGTCCTTCTTTAGAGAAGCAAATTAATGGTTTCCTAGCTGGTAGAGCTGAGTACTTGATCCACAAATGCTAGAAAGCAGGTTCCTATTTGACTCACCAACTGGTTTGGTTTATCTGGAAGAAAATTTATAATTTGAAAGATAATCCTTTCTAGCCATTTGATTAGTGCCTTTCTTGCATTTGTTTATCTTCTGAGTATATTCAATATTTCTGGCTGCATAATAATATTACATAAACTTAAGACTTAAACACTGCACATACTTATTTTCTCTTCTTTCTGTGAATCAGGAGTCTGGCCATGACTTATCTGAGTTCAAACTTCATGGTTTCATATGGGTGCACCTTGTATCAGCTGAGGCTACAGACTCAGCTCCACTAGGGATAGTATGCTTCTAAGCTTGTATGGTGTTCACAGCTTTTACTAATTGAGGGTCATTGAACTGAAGGCCTCGGTTTTCTTCTTGGGTTTTGATTGAAGCTTCATGTGCCTCCTTGCCAACACAGCAAACTGCTTCTTTAAAGCCAGCAGGGTAAAATGACTAACAGAAGAGTTTCCTAGTAAGAAATTGATCTTACATAGTGTTTCCACAAGAGTGGTATTCTACCTCCTTTGCCATATTCTACCGGTTAGAAGAAAGTTGCAATTATGCCTACACTCAGAGAATTCTAGAAGGGGACTACCAGGAGGTAGGCATCATGGAGTTGTCTTGGACTGTGCTTGGTGGCATGTTCACTGTGGGAAATACATTCTCTTACAGACAAGTCTCTTCTGGAAAGGTCTTTTCAAAACCAAAGCATATGTTGTAGTTAAAGTGACAGAATCTGTAACACTAATGACTAGCGAAGTTATTGATGTAGCAGATGCTATGTCTTAAAGACTTACTGTAGGAAAACCCTTTGTATGGTTCCTTCTAGGTGGTTCCAAAAGGCAAAACCAGGATCAATGGGTAAATTACAGGAAGCCAGTTTTCATATAGGGAACCACTGAACAGTGCAAAGCAGATAAAATGCTTGTAGAAAGAGAGTTGGATGTTACAGCCATTTGTTGGTATGTAGGAAGGGTTCAATGGGATGGAGACAGGTGATCTATGAGGAACAGTGAGTGGGGAACACTCATGGACATTTTTGAAGTCCAAAGACTCTGGATTTACCGCTTGGGGTGAGGAATTCTGGCTTTTGTACTGACACATATTTTCAGTGCAGTCAGGGCCTGTCCTTTACATCTGCCTCATCTACTTGCAGAACAGTCCAGATATTTTAGAACAAGAGGAATTTTCTTGAAGAAGATTCTAAACAATGCTCTGATTCTGGGATAATTTGATCTAGGAAGTCATTTTTTAGCCTTTCTTACGCAAATCTGACTATCTTTCATGATGAAGTACCCTCAGAAATGCTTAATGTAGACACTGTTGGTGGCTCACCCTATAATCCTAGCTACTCAGAAGGCTGAGATCTTAGGATCTCAGGCTTGAAGCTAGCTTGGGCAGGAACATCTATGAGATTCTTATTTCCACATAAGCACCAAAAAAGCCAGACATGGCGCTGTAGCTCATGTGGCAGAGTGCTAACCTTGAGCAAAAGAAGCTCAAGGACAATGCCCAGGGCTCAGAGAGAGGGGGAGGGGGAGAAGGAAGAGAGGGAGAAAGGAAGGAAGGAAGGAAGAAAAGAAGGAAGGAAAGAAGGAAGGGAGAGAGGGCATGTAGATTACATCACTAGTCTGCAGCTGCCTGTTCTATCTATGCAAGTGTGCTCCTCTATGGCCCTGGTGCATTCCCTTGCCTGAAGAATTATTCACTTAAAAAAAAAGAGAATTATTCACTTAAATTACTTTATTTGAATTAACTTTTAAGGGCAAATCATTAACATAGGTGAGTGATGTGGCTAGTCTCACATTTGAGTGAGACTTAGAGCTCAAAATTAGCTAGAAAATCAGGGTATAAATTATGCCAATGTTCAAAGGGATTTTTAAAAATTCAGGTTTAATGAAGATGACTTTTTAAAATTGATACAAAAAAGCACCATACTTAAGCAGCTATTTACTTTGCTTAAGTTGGAATGGTAAGGAAAATAATTTAAGGAAATAATTCTGGGAAAGGCTAGTAATTTTGTCATAATGATATACTAGGCACATCTGGTAGCCATTCTCTTGGAGATGTATCCTGTGGTCTACAGTCAACACTGGAAAATGTAGCTCCAATTAAGTACATTCCTTCAGACGGTATATATTCCATTGGATTCCTGCAGTACTGAGTACTGTGAGGAATGAGAATATCTGTAGGCTAATGATGGGATAAGTCCTATTGCTGGTAAGCTGCAATGAAGACCATCCCACCCAGCCAGAATTCTGAATAACTCATGAGCCTAGGGAGAGTGGGAATGGCGTCTCAGTAAACAACTAGACTAGTTTGTTTCCAGTTTGGAGATGAGAGAGGAAGATGGGACTAAACAAACCATATTAAAAGTACATTGGGAAGGGCTGTGTGCAGCTCAGGAATAAAGCCCTTGCTCAGCCTGCAGCGGGCCCAATCCCCTGCACCATAAAAACCAATAAAGCTACTCTGGGAACCCCTTAGAATCACAAGGTGACAAATCTTGTTACTGTCTAAATGAATTGGGAAACCAAGCAAGAGCAGAGAAAATACTTCTGTTTTCTTTCTCAAAATCTAAACCAGTGGAGAGAAAGTGACTTTTTTGTTTTTGTTTTTTAAAATTTGTTTGTTTGCTTTTTTGTTTTGCAGTGCTGGGAGTTTCACTTAGGGCCTTAAGCATGCTAGGCACGTGGTCTACACTGAACTGCATCTGCAAACAAGAAATTTTTATTTATGCATTCATGCATGCATGCTAGTGCTGGGCTTGAATTCAGGACTTGGCACTGTTCCTGAGCCTCTTTGTGCTCAAAGCCAGTGTTCTACCACTTGAGCCACAGCACCACTTCTGGCTTTTTCTGAGTAATTTTTTGGAGCTAAGAGTCTCATGGACTTTCCTGCCCAGGCTGGCTCTGAACCATGATCATCAGATCTCAGACTCTTTAGTAGGTAGGATTGCAGACATGAGCCACTGGTGCCCCGCTTCAAGAAAGAGTTTATATATTTATTTATTTTGTTGGCCGTGGGGCTTGAACTCTTGGCCTGGGTGCTGTCCCTCAGCTCTTCAGCTCACTCTACCTTTTGAGCCACAGTGCCATTTCTGGTTTTTTGGTGGTTTATTGGAGATATGAGTCTCACAGACTTTCCTGCCCAGGCTGGCTTTGAACCTTGATCCTCAGATCTCAGCCTCCTAAGTAGCTAGGATTACAGGCATGAGCCACCAGCGCCTGGCTCAAGAAAGATTTTTAATGTAAGCAAATTCGGGCTGGGATGGTGGAAAGGCAAGCTGCTTTGTTTATTAAGGAATATTACCCTTTCTTTCATTCTGCTTCTGTTCTTTTTGTTTCCAAAGCCAGGTACAGCAATCTCCGCATCCATGTCTCAGCCCCCTCAGATTTCTTTTCTTTCATGAAGTCTTTTTTGCTTATGAGAGACGTTATTGAAAAATAGTCTTCCTTTGAAAAGCCTAGTCTAACTTGGGGAATATGAAATCTCCAAATTGAAGATCACAGAAGTTCTTAATTTCATTGCAAGTATACTAGTTAAATCTTTTGTCTTATCCCTTTGTTAATACTGTAACTGAAATCTGAGGGAATGTTTCAGCAGTGTCATGTAAATGAACACCAAGAGAATTCCTATATCTCATGAAACACACATTTCTTAAAATGTTTGTCTTGTTTTGATATTAGCTATCAGGGAGAAGCAGAGCAAAGCTGCCGTTTTTTAGAAGAACATCTTAGTCATTTAGTCTTAGACCTATCTGCCTTCTCACTGTACCATTCAGGTCTGACCTCCAGTACCTACAGCCTGGGTACCCCACAGAAGAGCTCCATTGTTCTTGCAGCTGTACTTCCCATCCAAGCCAATTTTATGCCCACAACTTCATGTTCATTGCAGCCAGTCAGTTGTTGCTGCTTGATTTGCCAGAACAGCCAGCAGCCAGCTGAAGCCGTTGAGCCATAAGGGAATAGGGGAGCAGGAAGTAGGAAAAGGAATTCAGAGAATTACATAAGCTGGAAACTGTGATTTGCTCCTTAGTTCTCAAAGATGTGCACTAAGTTTGCAGTTCCATTTAGTCTTCTGTGGCTGTTGTTACCAGTTTTGTTTTGATGCCTTGCTAAATCTCTGAATTAACAAAGGAAGCTGTAATGTGGAAAGTTCACCATCTCAAACAATACTTAATACATGTATCTGGTAGCCAAGCTAAGAAACTAGATTTGTTATATTTTTCTGCACCAAACCTTGGTGGCTTGAAGTAGCCACCATTTTATTTACTGATAATTTTGGGAATGTACAATGTGGGCTGATAGGTTCTTCTGCCCCATTTGCCTGGAATTGCTTCTGCAGGTGCCCATACATGCAAATCAACCAGAGTCAGCCTAAAGTCACTTTAAGGATAGGTAATGGTGGCTTGTGCCTGTAATTCTAGCTACTTATGAGGTTGAGATCTGAGGATTGTGGTTTGAAGCCAGCCTGAGCAGAAAAGTCTGAGAAACTCTTATCTCTTTTTAACCAGAAAAATTCCAGAAGTAGCCCTGTGGCTCAAGAGTAGAGTGCCAGCCTTGAGTAAATAAACTAAAGGATAGTACTCAGGCTCTGATTTCAAGCCCCAATATTGGCACTAAACCAAAAAATAAACAAGGCAGCTTCAGTCACATTGTGGCAGAAGCAGGGTCACATTATTTGAGCAGAAAGTGTAAGTTCAGAGTGGGTGGGATGATTATACAAGGTGTGAAAACTGGGGTATTATTTATTGGTGGAAGACATTATTATACCAGACAGTTGAAAATGGAAAATTCTGACTGTTTTGAATGTGCTTTTTTTAAGCTTTTTTTTTTTTTTCTTTTTCAGAGCTAAGGACCAAACATAGGGCTTTGCACTTGCCAGGCAAGTGCTCTTCCTCTGAGCTAAACCTCCAACCTCTTACATGTGTTTTGTTTTTTTTTTTTTTTTTTTTGTCCAGTCGTGGGCCTGAACTCTGGGCCTGGACGCTGTCCCTCAGCTCTTCAGCTCAAGGCTAGCGCTCTACCACTTGAGCCACAGCACCACTTCCAGCTTTTTTTCTTTTTGCTTATGTGGTGCTGAGGAATCGAACCCAGGGCCTCAAGCATGCAAGGCAAGCACTCTACCACTGAGCCACCTTCCCAGCCCTTACATGTGCTTTTTTTTTTTTTTTTTGGGTCCGGTTGTGGGGCCTCAACTCTGGGCCTGGGCACTGTCCCTCAGCTCTTCAGCTCAAGGCTAGCGCTCTACCACGTGAGCCACAGCGCCATTTCCGGCTTTTTTCTTTTTGCTTATGTGGTGCTGAGGAATCGAACCCAGGGCCTTGAGCATGCAAGGCAAGCGTTCTACCACTGAGCCACCTTCCCAGCCCCTTACATGTGCTTTTGAATAAGCTTCAAATGATGATGTTGTGTTTCAGACCTCTTTACTCTGCAAAGCTGCCATCCACGCCGGAATTATCAGAGATGAACTGGGAGGCCAGATCAGCATACTACAGAGCAAAGGGCTAAGTCGTTATGAAGGAATACTCGCCAATGGTGTGCTTTCCAGGCAGTAAGTACTTTGCTTTTTTTTTTTCTAAAAGTAGTCATTAGCACTGAGGAGTCACTAGCACTGATGGCAGTTTTGAAGGGATAGCAGGGATATGATAATGAGGTTTGTCCACTGAGAAAAATATGTGTGAGGGCTTAGGTGGATCTATCGTCTTTATATGGAAGGGAAATGTACAGTAAAAAAGCTCACCAATGCTGGTGCTGGTGGCTCATAGCTGGTATCCTAGCTACTCAGGATGTAGAGTTCTGAGGATTGTGGTTCAAAACCAATCCAGGAAAGAAAGTCTATGAAACCATTATCTCTAATGAACTGTCCCCCACCCCCCAAAAAAGCCAAAAGTGGAGCTATAGCCTTGAGCAAAAAAAAAAACTCAGGTACAGCACCCAAGGCTGGTGCTGGAACACACACACACACACACACACACACACACACACACACACACACTCTCTCTCATTCACCAATGATGCTGACAAGCAAATGAAATGGTAACTATCTAAAGCTGCAAGTTGGAGGATATATCCGCTCTCAGGTGTCAGGGAATAAAGGTGTATTCCCTCTTGGTTATCACCAGTTTTTTGTTTTTTTTTACCTAATTTAGATACTGAAGGAGACCAAGAAGTGAAATGAATTCTTATAGCACCATTGAGCTGCAAAGAAGGTTCCTAGAGACAGTCTTATTGTTACATAATGGTGAAAAAAAAGGAAGTTTTAAAAAAAGATGGCTTTTGTTAAAGTTGTAGCTTCTCGTTGTACGTAATTTAAAAAAAAGGTAAGCTTTGTATCTTTTCAGCTTTTAGAATCTATAAGTCCAAACAGAGCTTGTTTAGAAGTGAGTATAGGCTGCTATGTGGTGCGCATGCCCACATGTGTGAAAGGGTGCGCAGCTCCGAATGGTCTGGAGGAAGGAAGCTCCCTACGATGGAGGACTAGTGAGGGAAAGGGGCTCCGTGAGCCTCCGGATTTCCCTGCCACCCCTGTTCTGTCTGCCTCTTGAAACATCTTCCTGTACTGCAACTGTGTTTTTAACAAGTTTCCACATGCTTTTGGACTTTAGAATAAGGCACAAGGACAGAGGCCATATATAGGAAAAATAAGTTAGGACCACTTTGTGTGTGTGTGTGTGTGTGTGTGTGTGTGTGTGTGTGTGTGTGTGTGTGTACCTGTCCTGAGTCTTGAACTCAGGGCATGGGCGCCGTCTCTGAGCTTTTGTGTTCAAGGCCACAGGAACCACAGCTCCATTTCTGGCATTTTGGGCAGTTTAATTGGAGATAATAATCTTCCAGACTTTCCTGCTTGGGCTGGCCTTGAACCACAGTCCTCAGATCTTAGCCTCCTGAGTAGCTAGGATTATAAGCAAGGGCTACCAGCATCTGGTTAGGATTGACTTTGGGCTTTAAATATCTTGCCTGTGTTTGTGTGTGTATATATATGTGTATACATATATATATGTGAATACTATTGTAAGATAATAAGATAAAAAGCTTAACCTATACTGCCTAGATTTATTTCATTTTTGAAGAAAAATAGTTAAAATTGTTGACTATAAAAGTAGATTTTGTTATTTGAACTATTTCTGCATTAACTGGACTTAATGCATGTATGTAACTTCTGTGTGGTGTGAAGTTAAATTTCTGTGCCAAAAACAATACAAAAATGATGTCATTAATGAATAAGAAAAAGGGTACCCACATGTAGCACATCATTTTTTGAGCTAATTGTGGTTGTTTTGGTGGGAGTCGATAGAAAGTTCAGGATCATCTCGGGGTTCCTTCTCCTGTCTAGTTCTGTGAGTTGGCAGTGACTTTATATCCCATCTCTTCTGTACATTTAGATTCCCAACTCTTTTGGGAGTTGTTGTGTTTATCTGTGTTGTTTTGCTGTTGGGAAGCTGCCTTGCACGCGGTCATTGAACTTCTGTTCCCACACACGATTGTTTGGCATCCAGGAAAAAACAGAGAAGGAAGCACTGCAGCTGGAGAAGAAGGGGTTCCCAAAGTAAACATACAGGGCTCTTCTGGGATTCATCCAGGGGCAGGCGGCTTCCTTGACTTAAGAAGACCAGAATGGAATCAGGAAAAAGGGCTGACCTCATACAGAGGATGAGGACTCTAGCCTCCGAAGGGAGAGCCTTTCTTTGTGTGTTTCCCTTGGGTTTTTCTGGATTGCTTCTCTGGCCCTCTGAATGGTTTCTTGGTCCTCTAACCTGATTGAATTCACTCACCCCAACGAGGGAATGCCTAAGATGCCTCTTGCTCTCTCCAGGTGTTTTCATTTTTCAGAAAGGAGGCTTATTTCCTATTGCAGCAAGTGGTCACAGGTCAGTCGAAATGGGAAAACATCCCAGGTGATAATGAAGGAAAGCCAAGACAGAGAGATTGCAAGAGAACCTCCACTGGTGTGGTCTTCAGAGTCATCCTTTCCATACTTCACCTTTTTGGTCAATACTAAAAAGTAAAAGTGAACATTTCAATAGCAGTGCAAGTGAGCATGGGCTCTTCGGGTTGCCTGTGGAATTGTTTGGCTTTTTTTTTTTGTTGGTCATGGGGCCTGAACTTGGCCTGGGCGCTGTCCCTCAGCTCTTCAGCTCCAGGCTAGCGCTCTACCACTTGAGCCACAGCGCCACTTCCAGCTTTTTCTGCTTATGTGGTACTGAGGAATCGAACCCAGGGCCTTATGCATTCACTCTACCACTCTAGCACTTCCCAGCCCTGGTTTGGCTTAATTTGGGCCTTGTTTCCAGTGTAATCATTACTGTCAGAACATTAGAGAAGAACGAAAAATAAAAAACAGATAACACAGAGGCTCTACCAAAAACATAACTTTATTCCCAATAATGTCCCACCCTTTAGGGTTCTGAGAGCGAGGCCCCTGTCCAACAGAGTGCTGACTGTTAAATTTGGCAAATCTCATAGCCATATGGACCTGTTTTCTCACCTGAGAAATGATTGGCCTCTGTGTTCTATTCAGTGCAGACATTAGGACAGAACCTTTGTGCAGAACCCAGGGATGGAGAGACTTAGACTGAAAGTAGATGAAGAAAGTGAAAGCGAAAAGCTATTCCAGAGTTTTACTTCCTGGCACTCCTCAAATGCACTTGAATAAATTACTTTTGAGTTCTTGGTGGATTTTATGATTTAGTGCTAACCCCCTCCCCCACCGTTATCCCTTGTGTGTGTGTGTATGTTGACTTATAATGCCTAGGATGGAAAATAGTATACATAAGAGATTACTCCTATCTATATTATAGTGAGAAGTCCACAACATTCACGCTTTCTACATATTTTTCACAATATTTGCTTGATGAGGGATGTTGGGCCTTAGGATTTATCTCCAACAAAGGAGGCAACTGCGGGCTTGAGAGATAAACTCCACTGTGAGAGAAAGATGTAGAACCTCAAGTCAGAACTCCAGGGGTCCATGCCAGGTGGGAGAACTGGGGGCCTGACCCCGCCAGATCAGTGAGCGGCACTGAGCTCTCTCCTGATGTGGCCTTCTTACCCAGAAGCAGCAGCTGGCTTGTGCCTGGCTGCTGACTTGCCAGTATAGGCGAGAGGGCGGCTGTGGAGAGAGAGGCACGGTTGGGGTTGTCTCTAGAGCAACAATGCTCAGCAGGGCAACTTTGAGAGTTCTGTAGAGCAAGCAACTGGAAATGACCTGCGCATCTTTCCTGAAGCGGCTGGGCTACTTTGTTTCTCTCAGAGGCCCTTGCTGGTGGGCGGCGAGAGGGAGGCTCTCCGGTGGCTGCTGAAGGCCAGGGCAACTGCAGTGCAGCATCCCTTCTGCCTGTCGCCTTGTATTCATGAAATGGGATTTAGAGTCGCTCTGAGACTGTCCATCCGTGTGTCCTTTCTCAGCACATGTGACATAATAGAAGCAGCACAAGGGTTTGATTCAAAAGCAGTGTCACCTGTATGAATTTAGGAAACCTGCTCATCTTTCACAAGCCAGAGTTTTCTGATGCAGGCAATAGCAGTTGAGCCAGCAGAGTGCCGCGGGGGCTGCGTGAAGCCGTGGCACGAGGCACCTGCATTCGTCCTTAGGATCTGATGATGTGACTCACTCCTCATGTCTGTCTTTTTGTTTCAGTGGCTCCCTGTCAGAAAGGCGCTTTCTGTTTGCCTCCAATGGTAAGGACCATGCTGCTTTTCTTAAGAGAATTTGATCATTTAACATTCCTCGGTGGTAATGAGGCAGGGATGGTGGTGCACCTCTTTAATCCTAGCACTTGGGAGGCAGAAGTAGGAGGATCAAAGGCATAATCACAGCCAGACTGGGATAGTTAGTGAGATGCAGTCAAAACAAAAACAAAATAAACAAAATAAAATTCTTCACTATGAGTTCATTCCTGGGTATCCCACACACAGATTAAATAGTTGGAATAAATTCTTTTCTCTAGGTTACATGGTTCCAAATTTTGTTTGCCTGAAGAATTTAAAAGACAATAAGCCTCATTAGCATTAAGCAGAAGTTTGTTTGTTTTTTTTTTGTCGGTCTTGGGGCTTGAACTCTGGGCCTGGGAGCTGTCCCGCAGCTCTTCAGCTCAAGGCAGGCGCTCTACCACTTGAGCTACAGCGCCACTTCCAGTTTTTCTGGTGGTTTATTGGAGATAGGAGTCTCACTGTCTTTCCTACTTGGGCTGGCTTTGAACTGCCATCCTCGGATCTCAGCCTCCTGAGTAGCTAGGATTACAGGCGTGAGCCACCAGCGCCCGGCTAGAAGTTTGTTTTTTTAAATTTAACCTCTTTCAGGATTCTTCCAAAAAGAATGACAAATATATATGAAAATGTGGCAGTCAAAGCCATTATTTGGTATGCTAAATGCTAATTTAAAAGAGAAGAAAATGAAAAGTAAAATAAGAGAAGAAGCTTTCAAATTTTACCAAATGTGCCAGGTGCCAGTGACTATGCTTGTAATCTTAGCTACTCAGGAAGCTAAGATCTAAGGATCATGATTTGCAGCCAGTCTGGAAGAAAAGTCTGTGAGATTCTTATCTTCAACTAACAAAAAAAAAAAAAACAGAAGTAGAGCTTTGACTGAAGTGATAGAAAAAACAGAAGTAGAGCTTTGACTGAAGTGATAGAGAGCTAGACTTGAGCAAAAAACGCTCAATGGCAGCACTCAGGCCCTACGTTCAAGCCCCAAGACTGGCACACACACACGCACACACACATACACACAAAACACACACACAAATATTACCAACTGATTTGTGGTTATTTTGAGTAAGACAGTTGAACATGATGAGTATAGAAAAATAAAATGCTAATTATTTTAGTTTCTTCCTCATGAAATATACTTCATTTGCATATCCTCTCAACATAATTTTTTAAATTTTTTATTATTATAAGGGTGATATACAGAGGGGTTACAGTTACGTAAATATTTACCTTAAAGTTAATATTTTATGGAGAACAATATGCCTGTTTCTTCTTGGCTCAAGAAGAGATGTATGGCCTTGCTACTTCAGCATTGTTTAAGACATGCTGTTGTTCAGGTCCAGTGCATGCATATTATTAGTACAGTGTACTTATTTTTAGCATCCCTGGTCAAATCTACTTTTCAAGGGTACAGCGAATAGGAATCCCTCTCTAATTCTTCTTAAACAAAGAAGCATTTTGTGTGTGTGTGTGTGTGTGTGTGTGTGTGTGTGTGTGTGTGTGTGTGTGTGTGGCTGGTGTATTGTGTGTGTGTGGTGTATGTGTACTGCTTCTAGAGCTTGAACTCAGGGCCTGTGCACTATACATGAGCTTTTTTGTTCAAGGTTAATGTTCTACCACTTGGGTGATAGCTCTATTTCCAGCTTTTTGGTGTTCAATTGGAGATTTTACTGCCTGGGCTGGCTTTGAACTGTGATTCTCAGATCTCAGCTTCCTGAGTAGCTAGCATTACTGGTATAAGCCATCCATGCCTGACTAAGAAGCATTTTAAGAACCACTGTAGTGTGCTTTAATGTGGGTAACATAGAAAGTTAATAAAGAAAATCTATAAGGGAGACAGAAATGTCATTCTATAGGCAACAGACTTTGATATCTATGAAAAAGAAAAGCAGCACTGTACCACAAGCGAATTAAAATACAAGTATTAATGACAAAAACTAGTAACTAAACATTTGATTTGATATCAGAACAGAGGTAAATCAGCTAAGTATTTTTATTTTTTTTTATTTTTTTAAATTTTATTTTATTTTATTTGAGAACATACTGTACAGAGGGGTTACAATTACATGGGCAGGATAATGCATACATTTCCTACCAAGCATTGCAGCCTCCTCCTTTGTTTACCCTTCACCTCCCTTCCCAGCCTCCCCCCTCCCCCCCACCCAATCATACCCCCCCCCCCCACCGACATTGTAAAGCTGGTTTTGACATGACATTTTGTACTTCTCATTGTTGCAACAGGTCCAGCTAAGTATTTTTATATAAAATGAATTACTTAAGGCAGTACTGTGAGTGAGTCAGCAAACTCTTCAATTCTGGTCATCTCCTTTTGCATATCATTATCACTAATGTGGTTTTCCAACATCCCTTCTCTCTCAGGGAATGATTCATCTGTGCCCCGTGAAATGGTTTCAGAAACTGGTGTTTCAACCGAGAGAGAGAAGATGAGGCAATCACAAAGCCCATCCCCTCGGGAGAAATGCCAACAGATAGACCAGTTTCTGTTTCACAGTTTATAAGAAAAGTATAACTGGTACCCATCTAATTCATCACAGTGCTTCTTAATAGCGCCAACAAAATATATTTTTCTCTGTCATATAAAGAGGGTTGTTGAGAGGTATTTGTACATGCTTACATGTGATCTGACTATAATTATATGATGTAATGCCTTGAGTCGAGAAAGATTGACAGCAAACTTGTATGTGCTTTTAACACTAGAAAAATAGTTGGTGGAAAATAAATTAATAGATCCATGCAATGGAATATTTTACAGCTGCAAAAAATGTGTTACTGGTATAGAAATACCTCTAATATACTAGGAATTAAAAAATAAGCACAGAACCATCTATGTAGACATTTTTGCAAGAGGAGGAAAAGAAAGAATGAACCTATATATTCACTTCAATATCTTTAGAAGACTGTCAAGAAATAAAATCTCGGTTCCTATGAAGGAGAGGGAAAAAAAGGAAGGAAGACATTTCGCTCCATATCTTTTTATACTTTTTGATTTTTAAACATGTAAGTGTGTAATATATCCAAGTAATGTTCAAGTAATGAACACTAAAAGTATATTCTTCTCAGAATAGAAAATATTTTACATATTAAGTTTATAAAATTTGAAAAGATTAGAGAAATATAAATAAAGAAACACAACTCAGCCATAGCTCAGCATCCAAACATGCTCACCATATTCCACTGTGTCCAGTCAGGTGTATTTATCATTCTGGGTTCAAGACAGAAATGGTGGCATCTTACCTACTATATTCTATCCCATCGCACACATTGTCCACTTTGCGTTGTATGATAAGCCTTTTATAATGCTGTTAGGTAGTTGAAAATGCAACTGTTAATATCTTTATACCATGTTTGAAAATCCAGATATAACATTATTTAACTATTCCCTTCCTGTTAGATAATTTAAGTTTGTCAGTTTCCCCAGACTTTTCACTCTTCAATAACATTACTGGCATTTGTCACTTATATAAATTTGTATTCATCTAAATTTCCTTTCTTCCTGTTCATGAACTATATATTTCCGTTTTGTATGTATGTGTGCCAATATTCAGGGCCTCCCTTTTGCTTAGCTTTTGTGCTCATGGCTGGTGCTCTACCACTTGAACCACACCTCCAGTTGTAACTTTTTGCTGGTTAATTGAAGCTAAGTGTCTCAAACTTTTTTTTTTGCCTGAGCTAGCTTTGAATCACAAACACCACCACCACCACCACCCTCAGTTCTCAGGTTCCTATGTAGCTAGGATTACAGGCTTGAGACACCAGTGCCTGCCCCACATACCCACTCTTGATCATTCCTTTATTTTCTTTCCAAGGATCACCAAAAACAAAAAGTGGAAGATCAAGGACTTACTTTTCATAGTTCCTGCAAGCCAGGAGCTTAGAGTAACATCTTTGTAAATGAAAGGGCGGTAGGAAAACCCAGAGTTTTGTGAAGCCAAGTGGAATGCCAGTGCTTCCTGCAGTCCTCAGGCTGCATTTCCCCCCAGACCACAGCTTCTAAACTCTGGTAATTAGAACCTGACAGCTCCCCAATCTTCTGTGTGGACTCAAGTCCAAATTCATCCACCTTTGAGGGAAATTGAAAGCTGTCACCAAGCTAGGAACTCCACACTGAGCCTTCATCTTTTATCTGTCCAAATAATTCCTGGCTGAGTGAGAACTTAAACCAGTGGCTCAAACTTGTGATCCTAGCTACTCTGAAGGCTGAGATCTGAGAATTGCAGTTCAAAGCCAGCCTGGGCAGAAAAGTCCCAGTAAGACTCTTATCTCCAATTAACCCCTCAAGAATTGGAAGTGGAACTCTGGCTTAAATGGTACAGCACTAGCCTTGAGCAAAAAGAGCTCAGGGACAGCACCCAGGCCCTGAATTCAAGCCCCACAACTGACAAAAAAGAAAAAGAAAAGTTCAGAGAAAACAAATGTTAGTCTCTGTGGCGCCAAGGGGAAACAGGAAGAGGACATGGAAAGGATGGACAGGATAGACAGGAAGTTGTATTTCCCTGAACCTAGCCAGGATTCTGAATCCCCTTCTTTTGCTTGTCAATATCAGTAAATGCCTAGCACGTATTCATTTTCCTTGAGCATTAAACGGTGGAAGCCTTCTCAGATCTGTGTTTGGTTTCGGGCCCTCAGTTTTGCTTGTTACTCATTCAGGTTATGACATGCTGGCTCTCCCCTTCTCTAGGATTAAATGTTACAGCTGTGGCCATCCCATTGGTGCTCCTCGTTGCCCTGCTTCTGGCTGGAATGGGCGTCTTTGCTGTCTATAGAAAGTATGTGAGTTTACATTTTTTAATTCCTTCTCTAATTATGTAAGCAATTGTAAACCCAATCACATTTACTCTTCAAATATTCATTTGTAGAAAAGCAGATGACTTCTCTCCAGATAAAATGAAAATTGATATTTTTAAAACAAAGGGAACAGTGATAGAAGAAATTAACCAGTGTTCACTTATAAGCAGTTTTTGTCACTTAGAAGCTTTTACTAAAGGCTTATAGATGAGCACTTGTTGCAGAAGTCCACACCTAGGAACAGACATAGTCTCTCTTCTCTTTCATCCACCTTGGATAGGAAAGCCTGGAGGCCTGGCTTCCAATGCAGTCACCATGGAGCCCAGTCCTTCTGCCTCCCCAAGCCTCAGTTTCCTCAAGTACTAAATAAAGGACTTAAGCATCATGAGGACTGAATCTTTTTCCCAGACCCCAAACCCCACATTCATCGTAACAAAGAATAGGACATGGGTTTAAACAAAAAAAGAAAATTGTTCTCAAGTTTTCCTCTTTTGTATATTTTGAACAGCTTCACAACTTGTATATGTATATGTTAATAAAGTAGAATGAAGAAGTATTTGCCAACATGAGTGAGTGAAAGTTACAAAGTCTCTAGTTTTTGGGGTTTTTTTTTTTTGTTTGTGGGGCTTGAACTCTGGGCCTAGACACTGGCCCTGAGCGCTTCAGCTCTTGAGCAAGCACTCTACCACTTGAGCCACAGCACCACTTCTGGTTTTTCGGTGGTTAATTGGAGATAAGAGTCTAACTTTCCTGCCCAGGCTGGCTTTGAACCGCAATCCTCAGATCTCAGCCTCCTGAGTAGCTAGGATTATAGGTGCGAGCCACCAGCACCCAGCTAAAGTCTCTAGTTTTTAAGCCTCAGTTAAAGCTAAAGCATGCTTAGTGCATTTATGTTAAATGATTTTAGAAGACTCCTACAGTTTTGGAGTATAGAAAATAGAGATGAAATGAGAAACATGACTGTGAATAACTGCTGCTGGATATTATTAGTTGTGTGAATTATTGAGCAAATAGAGTAATGATGCATTGCTTCTTGATAGGAGAATTTTGTGACCTTTATTATAAGACAAATTTATATACATACACATATAATATATATAATATATATACCCATATGTTCCTGACCTAATAAGCTTATGGCAACTACAATCTCATCTAATCCTCACAACAGTCTTATGAGGTAAGTACAGTTATGATTCTCATGTTATGCAAGGAGACAGAGGCAGATGAATTGGCTTGTAAGTACTCACTAGGACTTTTTGTCTTAATAGGAGGAAGAAGAAAGGAAACCCATATATATCTGCTGAGGCTCAGAAAACAGGTTGGTTAAAAACTTCATCTGCAGTTCTGTTCTGTCTTTCAGGAAGTAAGAGACAATATCTGCTGATGGAAAGCACAAGTAGGCTCAGTGGCCAAGTGCTAAACCTAGTATGTGGAAAGCCTTGGGTTTGATTTCCAGTACTGGGGGGAAAAAAGTGAAAGGGCTGGGAAGGCAGCTCAGTGGTAGAGTGCTTGCCTAGCATGCAAGCACTGGGTTTGATTCTTTGTACCACATAAGTAGAAAAAGCTAGAAGTGGTGCTGTGGATCTAGTGGTAGAGTGCTAGCCTTGAGAACCGAGAGGCCCAGGGACATAGCCTAGGCCCTGAATTCCAGCCCCAGGACCAGGGTGGAGTGGGGACCAGTGGAAACGTGATGGGTTTTTCAGTGACACACACTTACACAGCAGTTTCCCTTTCATCTGTGGGGCACGGGTTCAAGATTCTTCCCAGCAGATACTTGAAACTGGATAATACTGAACCCCACATAATGTTTTACCCCCCTAGGCACATATACATAGGTGTTAAAATGAAATTTCTGTACTAAGCACTGAAAAAAATTAATAATGAGCTAGAACAGATATAAAAATCTTCAACTATAATAATCTTGATTAGCATCAGTTGTAATCATCTCATTGAAATTGCTAGTGTCACTAGTCTTATGATTTGGGCTGTTTTTAGTAAAGGTTTATGCAACACCTTGACTGTGATCTGATCATGAAATCTGCCCCTAATTGACCAAAGGGAGGGTAGCATATACCCAGTGGGTATGCTGACCATGTATAGGCAGGACTGCCTGTGCCAGATTTTACCATGCTACTCAAAATAGCATGTACTGTAAAACATGAATTGTTTATTTCTAGAATTCCCCTCCCCTCCCCCCCCCCCCCCCCCCACACACACACACACTTTTTTTTTCCTTTGTTGCAGGGCTTGAACTCTGGGCCTGGGCGCGCCCTGAGCTCTTCAGCTCAAGGCAAGCACTCTACCACTTGAGCAACAGCGCCACTTCTGGTTTTCTGTTGGTTACTTGGAAATAAGAGTCTCAGAGACTTTCCTGCCTGGGCTGGCTTTGAACCATGATCCTTAGATCTCAGCCTCCTGAGTAGCTAGGATTACAGGCATGAGCCACCAGTGCCCAGCTTTGTATTTTAATTTAATATCTTCAGTCATTTCACTTATGTTCAGCATCAGCTTCTTTGTTTATTAGCTTTTGGGGTGGGGGGGAAGGCGCTACTAAGAGTTAGGCCTCCACACTCTCATTAAGGAGAGGTTACAGTAGCCTCCATCAGTAAACTGAATGGAGTCCAAGAACAGGGGATGTAGCTCAGGGGTAGAATATGTGCTTAGGGTGTGCCAGGGCCTGTTTTTGATACCCAGCAGTGCAAATACATAAGTAAACAAACATGAGTGTAGTCCAGTACTGGGGGCTTTTTTTTTTTTTTTTTTTTGCCTGTCATGGGGCTTGAACTCTGGGCCTGGGCTGTCCCTCAGCTCGTCAGCTCAAGGCTAGTGCTCTACCACTTGAGCCGTAGCACCACTTACAGTTTTCTGGTGGTTTATTGGAGATAAGAGTGTCACAGAGTTTCCTGCCCGGGCTGGCTTTGAACTGCAATCCCCAGATCTCAGCCTCCTGAGTAGCTAGGATTACAGGCGTGAGCCACTGGAGCTTGGCTGGGAGCTTCCACCTTTAGACATCTCTCTAGACCACTGTTAACTCATTAGTTGGGCAACCTGTGTCTTAAAGATTCCCTGAAATTTGTGTATGCTCCTGCTTGATCCTCTCCTGATTTTGCCAGGGAATACAGTTGGAGGCCTAAAGGTGCTGACTTAAACCCCATCTGTGGGGTCCTTTCTGGGTCACGAGTGCCACGTCAATGTGGCTTATGGAAGATGGCTCATGGAACAAAACCCTGGGACCTGATGGGTTTGCAAATACATTTTTAAAGGCCAGTGGAAGACACACTAGATGCACCGTTTGTTATTTTGTTATTGGTCGCCGCATGCGCACGTGCACCTAATGAGTTGTGGCTGTGCCTTTATCATTACCCATTGAGGAATATTCATGAAGTGCCTGCATTATATTTATGACATACTGATTTGCTTCCTGTTATTTTTATTCCAGACTGTTGGAAACAGATTAAATATCCATTCGCCAGGCATCAGTCATCGGAGTTTACCATCAGCTATGACAATGAGAAGGAGATGCCACAAAAGTTAGATCTCATCACCAGTGATATGGAAGGTAAGCGCTATATCTTGGGACTACAGGCTGCTTGTGGGAAGGAGAGACAGGAGGAAAACAGGGCTAAAATCCTTCCGTAAAGTACATTCTGCGCAGTTATAAACTGACACTGAGATATTCCTCAATGGCTTCACTCAGCTGAGCCTGTTACACATGCTGACTCATAATGGCATTCATAAATCTTTGCATGGCCCTGAGTACTACTTGTCTCAAGAAACCTTTCATTTATACGTTACCAAGATTTTGATAAGAGCTCTGGGAAAGAGGGACTAGAAAGTTAAATACTGCCCCCTGCCTGGCCAAGGAGGTAGACAAGGGAACTCTCCCGTGTTTGAGTGGTTGCAGAGGCCCTGAGAAGCTATTGTTTTTGCCAGTTTCACTTCCTGATTTTCCTATTTTTTTCCCTTTTCAGTCTGTCTCCAGAGTTATCTCAGACTTTACCGCTCTTACCTTTCTATAGAATCAAACTATACTTTCTAGCAAATGATTAACACACACACTGGAAACAGGTTCAAATCCTAGCTCCATTATCTATTACCAGTATGCCCTCCTGGTTTCCCATAGGTAACATGGAAGTAAGTGATACCTTACAGGATTTTCATGAGAAGTTTTATTAACCAAGTCAGGGGCCCAGTGGCTCACACTTATAATCCTACCTACTCAGAAGGCTGGGATCTATGGATCACAGTTTGAAGTCAGTGCAGGTAGGCAAATCTAAGAGACTCTTTTTTATTAAAATATTTTTTTACTGTAAAGATACTATAGAGAAGGGTTACAGTTACATGATATGAAACGCCTATCTTGAAGTAGCAAGCAAAAAGCTGGAAGTGGGGATGTGGCTCAAGTGGTAGAGCTGCAGCCTTGATTAAAGAAAAAAAAAAAAAAAAAGCTAATAAGGGCTGGGAAGGTGGCTCAGTGGTAGAGCACTTGCCTTGCATGCATGAGGCCCTAGGTTCGATTCCTCAGCACCACATAAGAAAAAAGCCGCAAGTGGTGCTGTGGCTCAAGTGGTAGAGCACTAGCCTTGAGCTGAAGAGTTGAGGGACAGCATCCAGACCGAGTTCAGGCCCCACAACCGGACCCCCCAACCCCCCCCCCAAAAAAAAAAAGCTAATAAGAAAGCAAGGCTCTGGGTTTGAGTTCCAGTACCAAAAAAAAAAAAAGTTTTTAATCTATTTCTGACAGTCTTAGAATAATGGCTGGCACAGATTCAGAGTTCAATAAATATGAGCTCTTCCATTGTTCTGATCATCGCTAGGCTCAGACCTATTGCTTTGGTCTTTATTTTCATTAAACCGTTGGCCCTCCGTCTCTGGCCACATCAACCTATTTTCATGATTGCTCTTTTTTTTTTCTTTTTAAACAATGTGCCTTAGTTATGCAAGCGAGCATTTCATGGTGACATTTCCAAGCATGCATCCAATGCATTTCAGTCAATCTACCCTCTCCTGTATTCCTCTTCCTCATTTCAAGAGGTTTCATTGTTTTATTTTAACAACATACAACCAGCATCCTCTGTTTCCTGATTGCCCTACATCCTTTCACCTCCATTTCCCAAATGCAGCACTTCAAAGGCTACTTTGAGGCCTCCTCCAAGGACGCAACTTAGCAGTTCTCTCCCTTCTTTCTCTGGGTTCTTCTGGCCCTCTGAGACTTCTTCCCCGAAGCCCCAGGACGTGTTCTTTCATTCCCCCGGGCCAGCAGGCACTGTGGGGAGTTGAGTGGCGCCCACACCAGCACCCCCAGCGGGCCATCAGCCGGCTCAGCCGCCCTGGGTTGGTTGGGGCTGGCCTAGGGCTGGCGCGCAAAGGATGCTCCTCTTTACTCTCTTTTGGTTTCAGATTACCAGCAGCCTCTCATGATTGGCACGGGCACAGTCACGAGAAAGGGCTCCACTTTCCGGCCCATGGACACGGACACCAAGGGGGAGAGCGGGGTGAGCGCGGAGGACGGCGGCCACTACGACTGTCCTCAGCGCGCCGGCGCCGGCGGCGCGGGGCAGCACGAGTACGCGCTGCCGCTGGCGCAGGCGGAGCCCGAGTACGCCACGCCCATCGTGGAGCGCCACGTGCTGCGGGCGCATTCCTTCTCCGCGTCCTCCGGCAGCGGCTACCGCGTCCCCGGGCCCCGGCCTGTCCACAAACACTCTCTGTCCTCCGGTGGCTTCTGCCCGGCCGCGGGGGCGCAGGGCGGGGACTATCAGATGCCACCCGGCCCCAAGCCCGCAGACGGGGACTACGACAAGCCCCAAACCAGCAGCTTCTTGGCTGTTGAAAACAGAGACCCCGCCTCTCCAAAGCCACAGGTGCATCCTGAGTTGAACGATGGTTATTCATCCCCCAGAAACTGCCTCACGCCCCTCCACCAGACCGCCATGACGGCTCTCCTGTGAACACGATGTGCACGGCGCCTGCCTGGTGCCGCGCCAAGCCAGAGGCTTGTCACTGATTAGTGTGTCCATGTGCCATGGGCACTGTGACTCGGTAAGGATCCAGGAGACAGCGCTCCCACGCTGTTTACACCAGTGGTTTTTGTTCTGACCCTTGGGGTGAGAGCCCGCTGGTTTGTGTAAGGCTAGAAACAAACAAAAATGGACATTTGTCACATGGCATTTTCATTTTTCTGTGATACTGAGCTCCTTGAGTGTAAAATGTGCAATCTGTACAGAGCTGTATTTAAACAGAATTAAAGTAACTTAAGTTCACTTTGTCAGATTGTAGTTCTGCGCAGATTTACGTGGGAAATGCCGCTGTTGCGTAAAGCTGTAGTAGTAGTCTTGTTTTTCAATGTGTTTATCTGATACTGTGTCAGGTCTGTCTTAAAACTCAATCTTCCTATTGTTGTGCCTGCCTTTCCTTTCCTTTGATAACTAACACTTCACAGCATTTTTTAACATTCTTCCCTGGAAGAAATGAAATTACTTGAAGTAGTGAAAGCACACTGAGGTAGTGTTTTAGCAATTGGGAATTAAAAGCAAACCGGCCTCTGCCTTTGCTTAGATGCCACTTGCTGTGGCCCAGGAGCTGAGCATCTGTGCCCTGCAAGGGATTCGGGCCTAGCAAATGTTGTACAGCTTTCATGTGCTGAGCCTTCCTTCTAGAACTCCAAGCCAAATGCTGAGGCTTATTCAGCTACTTGTAATGAAGGCGACACAGCAATTGTTGTGGAGTTACCATCTCTGGTTTTCTGTGCCCAAGAATAAAAACACGGCTGAGAACCAGGTGCTCAAAAGGCTGAGACTTAGGATCCGTTCAAAGGCAGCCTGGGCAGAAAAGTCTATGAGACTCTTATCTCCAATTCATCACCAGAAAAGCTGGAAATGGAACTGTGGCTCAGGCGATAAGAGCTCAAGACTTGAGCAAAAAAAAAAAAGCTCAGGGACATCATCCAGATTCTGAGATCAAGCCCCAGTACCAGCACAGACACATAGACATGCACACACACAAATATGCTGAGGTCAAAAGTCTACAGTTCATTTTTCTCAGAAGTGGAATGTATTAGGAACTTTCTAGTCTCCTGGAAAATCATTTGAAATGTGTTCTTATGACAGTGACCGAGTTCAAGACTAAATAGAGCTTTTTTACTAACATGAACTGAGTTTATGAAAAACATTTTTCTCCTAAGTATTTTTCTACAATATTCGAGTAGCCCAGACCTCAGCTGTACCTTACGCTGTATTTTATATTTTATCTGAGTATACTTTGTGAATTAACTGTGGGGATTTACCTCTTTTGCCAAAGAGGAAAGTATATCTTGCATTTTTTAATAGAAAATAAGGACCAAAAAAATCATTGCCCAGAAAATGTGTTTTAACCCTATTTGTGTGGTTCTCACTTCCTGTGAAATGTATATATGTGAAAGCATTGAGGGTGCTGGCAGGTCATAGCAGACTGTTGGTTATTGCAGAAGACTGTTTACTTCATGGAGTTTACATGGTTTCATGTTGATACCAAGTGTAATAAACTATGTTAAGTCAGAGTGCCCTGTCTTTCACTGCAGCTCCGTGTGCCGGGGACTGAGAGGGTCATTCCTGTCTCAGTAATGAAATTAAGGCATTTTTTTCTCTGTTAAAGAGTCTCTCTTCCTAGCACATTCTCTCTTTTGAAACTCAGAGAAAACCTGGTACATGCCTTCTGGCTTTATAATAGGTAACACCTCTAATGCCTGGTCACCTAGGTAATGACTACAGGAGGTGTGTGTGTGAGGGGCAGGGGGGGGAGAGGGGACGGCAGAAAAAACCTGGCTCAAACTAGATGAAGCCAGGGGCTGTCCTTACCTGGACCTGGAAAACTATCTGATGGGCATATTTTAATGTCAAGAGGGTCAAAACCTCCACCCTCAGATCACATTAATGCTACCATCTTCTTTTGAAGATGTGTTCTATGAAGAACGATATTGTTTACACATGCCCAGAGCAGCGATTATTTCCTTAAATTGCATCCAGTCACATTTCCCCACACTTCAGACCCACCTTAGTTTTCCTTACCATAAGTCCTTGTAAGCTCTTTGGAGAGGCAGATTTAAGTGCCTCTCATGCTTAGCTACTTTGTGAATTAAATCATTTCTCTTGCAAAATGCTTTGCTTTTAAGGCTCAGCCTACTGGGCCAGTTGGTGAAGATGGGCCTGGTTCAGTAACAATCCTCAATAAGAGGACAGCTGGTACAGAGAACAGGCCAGGGGGTAGAGGCAAGTGTTCATTCTAGACCTGGATCTGCCACAAAAGAGGTGAGAAATCTTCAGCTAATTATGTGACACTTGATTCCTGAAGATCATGTTAATCTGTCTTCCTCTTCCAAAGGATACTGACTGAGAATCAACTGAGACATTTATCAAAATATTTGTTCTGTAATGGGCTTTATTCCCATCTAGTTTTTCAGTGGGGTTTTTTTTGGGGGGGTCTGGTTGTGGGGCCTGAACTCTGGGCCTGGGCGCTGTCCCTCAGCTCTTCAGCTCAAGGCTAGCGCTCTACCACTTGAGCCACAGCGCCACTTCTGGCTTTTTTCTTTTTTGTGTATGTGGTGCTGAGGAATCGAACCCAGGGCCTCATGCAAGTAAGGCATGCGCTCTACCACTGAGCCATCTTCCCAGCCCTTTCAGTGGACTTCTTACAGCATTTTAATATTAAAACTTTAGTACATAAGGATACACTTGGAAGGAGAGCACAAGTGGCTCACACCTATAATCCTAGCTACTCAGGAGGCTGAGATCAGAGGATGACAGTTTGGAGCCAGCCTAGGCAGACAAATACACAAGATACTTAGCCTTCAAACCAGAAAAAAAGAATCCAGAAGTAGGAGGGTACTGGTGGTTCATAGCAATAATCCTAGGTACTAAGGAGGCTGAGATTTGCAGATTGTGGTTTAAAGGCAGCCCCAGAATTTGAATTGTGGCTCAAGTGGTAGAACACTAGGATTCAGGGGGGATAAAAACTCAGAGACAGAGCCCACGGCCATGAGTTTAAGCTCCAGGACTAGCATTAAAAAATAAAGAGGTGAGGCTCAAGTGGTAAAGTACTACGTTTGAGCAAAAAGTCAAGTGATGGCAAAGTCCCTGTGTTCAAGCCCCAGTACAAAAAGGAACAAACAGGCAGGGACCTACAGCCCTCCTTTACAGGAGAGCTGGCTTCTCCATCACATTTCTTACTCATCCTAGAGGTCTAACCATGACAAAAGAGAACAGGACTTCCTCTTGGCATTTCTTCAAGGTGCTTGGTGGAGGTGAATTGGAAGGCCTGATAAACCACACAGAGCTAAGCTGAAACTAGCAGATAAGAGCAGAAAAATAGATCTTTCTCTTTCCAGGTTTTGTAACATTAGTATCTACATCCTACCCAGTGGCATGGATTACTACATTCGGTCACTTGTAATAGTTGTTGTAAGATACCTGCTCAACAAGCAAGACTATACTGACTACAGACACTTCTCTGGGTTTTTTTTTGTTTTGTTTTGTTTTGTTTTTTTGGTCGTAAGGCTTGAACTCTGGGCCTGGGTGCTGTCCCTCAGCTCTTCAGCTCAAGGTGAGCGCTCTACCACTTGAGCTACAGTGCCACTTCCGGTTTTCTGGTGGTTTATTGGAGATAGTCTCACAGTCTCTCCTGCCAGGGCTGGCTTTGAACCACGATCCTCAGATCTCAGCCTCCTGAGAAGCTAGGATTACAGGCATGAGCCACCAGCACCCAGCTTGCTCTGGGTTTTTTAATTGTTACTTAAACTTCCATTAAACACTTGTAAACAGCCTACAAAATGTCTAAAAGGGTATGAGGAGTTGCTCTAGGTTATTTTATAATGCAGTGAGTTCTTAGCAGAAGATGCAATCAATTTGTATTACAGGTATAGCTGTAGGCACCATGAATAACTATATGGTCTTTCCTAAATATGTCAGTTCTCTTTGAACAATTACAGCAGTCCAGATGTGGCCACCAGGCTGGCCTGGCTGGAAATGTTGATCTTGCACTCATTCACACACCAAGTAGCTATCCCAAGACCAACACTCCGTATTGGACAGAGAACATGTGGCCTCTCTTCAGGACCTGGGAGCAGTTTGAATGCTGCTAATGGTAAGCTAGGGTGAGGAAAAATGTAAGGTTTAGGGTGAAAATGAAACTTTAAGAATTATGATTGTTAGGTTAAATATAAACCAAAGTATTTGTGTTACTAGTATTAGGGCACTATTAGTATTCAAGCTGGGAAAATAAGGGTTGGGTAAAACTGAAACTTATTTTAAGGATTAGGGTAGAATGAAAGTTAGAATCGGTATTATTAGTCTTTGTGTTAATAAGATTGGAGTTAGGGTTCTGGTTCTTTTTAGAGTTAAGGAAAGGGTAGTTATAGTTAGTTACAGTGAAACTTATTGTAAAGATTAGGAATAGAGTAAAATTTAGTGCTGCTGTTAAAAAAACCATCTGTGTTACTATTAGTTAGGGTTAAGGACACAATTTGGTATGGGGTTCAGGGTTGATAGGAAAGGTTAAGAGTTAAATTGAGGGCTGGGAAGGTGGTAGAATGCTTGCTTCGCATGTATGAGGCCCTGGGTTCAATTCCTCAGCACTACAGAAAAAGCCAGAAGTGGCACTGTGGCTCAAGTGGTAGAGCACTAGCCTTGAACTGAAGAGCTGAGGGACAGCGCCCAGGCCCAGAGTTCAAGCCCCATGACCCCCCCCCCCAAAAAAAAAGAAGTTAAATTGAAAATTTAGCAATTAGATGAAGAATGAAAGTCAAAGTCAAAACTTTGAATTACTTTAAGAATTTTGGAAGGTTTATGCTTATATTAAGAGTTAGGAAATGGGTAAAGTTTAAGGTGTAACTGGTTTAGGAGTAGTTAGGGTTTGGGTTCTAGTGTGAATGAGGATTAAGAATACAATTGAGTGGTTAAACTTAAGTAAGGATGAGGAGTAAAACTTATGGTTAAACTAGTTTTCGTGCTACTCTTAGGATAAGGGAAGAGTATGTGTTAAGATTAATTTGGGGAGAGGAAGAGAAAAAAACAAAATGTTTAGGGATATAGGGATATGCAATAAGGAGATGTACAAGACACTATATTGAAAAATGAACTTTATAATTTAGGTGGGGGTGGGGAGCATAGTTATGGAGGTGGGAGGGAAGGGATGGTAGGGGGAAAAGAGAGGAGGAGGCAACAATGCTTGATAAGAAATGTTCTCATTACCTTGCTCATGTAACTATAACCCCTCTGTACAGCATTTTCACAATAAAAA